AAGCAATTTTTGCCGCGAGACGACGAAAAATGTTACCAACAGCGATAGGGCGGATACCTCCGTCTTTGTTTTTAAAGCCGGTAAGTTGGCTGAAAAGTTACAAGCATGTTGGTGTATCTCAGCTCGGAGAAGGGAATTAATAAGAGCTGTTATGGATCTTTTCAAATGTTCGTCATCTTCGGCAGTGTGGGCAAAAATTAAGTCTCTGATGTGTCCACACCCCCACTGCTGCTTCCCGAGAAAGACTTCAGAGCGGCGACCATTGCTTCCTTTGAGATTTCAATATTTGAATAATTTTTTTCCATCTGACATCTGATGGTGGCGAGGGTGTTTCCGACGGAGCGCTGTGAGAACTTCTGCTGAAGTAGCTAGCATAGTATCGGATGAAGCCAATGCTCTAACTGCAGCTGAGACATCACCCACGATCAACTTAGCATTGATGAGAGCACGGAGTCTCTTAGAATCGTCGACTGTAGATTAGAAAATTCCGTGGTACTTATTTTAGACGAATTGAATAAAGAAATCTTAATTTTCTTAATAGATGAGATAGATGATGTAGGATCCTTACTGTAAGGAATGCGCAACACAAGTGTTGCGAAAGAGAAACTGTGATTCCAATTAAGCGAGCTGTTCAAGTTAAGTGCATGGTCTATGAAAATGAAAAAACCGTTGACAATTTGAACAATTTTCGAATCTCTCACCCTTGTTAATGCTGCCACAAGGAAAAACAACAATCAGATTCCAGCAAAGGAGAAGGGAGAAACATTTTTTCTTCCCTTCTTTTTCCTAAAATTAATGCAAAACTTTTTTTTTTACTTGTTAATTTTTGTAATCTCCGGTTGAGATTGATTTCAATTATTTCTCTTTCAAGGCTATTTACTATACTATCCTTTGCGAAAATGTTTGCCGTTTCCAACTATTAATTCTATAATGATTATTCCATTTACAATTCAAATTCATATTTACCTTAATTTCTTAAAAAACCGTTGAAATTAACAGAGCTTTGCAAAACACCGTCTTCTTCGAATTCCAAATGCTATTTATTCTAGATTGTTCTGATATTGTTCCCGAATAAATCAAGATTACCTTATTAACAGTTAATAATTTTCTAATGAAATTTTCTTTTATGACTTTGCTTAGCTATTGAGGGGAATCTTACGCTATTCCAATGCGTCTTCACTTTCCAGTGGCACATTTTCTATCCCCAGTAAAAACAGTTGCTTGATTTTAGTTTCTCTTGGCTTTCTACCTGATTTTAGTTTCTCTTGGCTTTCTACCTGATTTTGGTGTCTTTTAGCTTTCTACCTGATTTTAGTTTCTCTTGGCTTTCTGCCTGATTTTGGTGTCTTTTAGCTTTCTACCTGATTTTAGTTTCTCTTGGCTTTCTACCTGATTTTGGTGTCTTTTGGCTTTCTATTTGATTTTGGTGTCTCTTGGCTTTCTACCTGTTGCTGACAATCATACATTAACCTGAGATTATAGTTTGCGAGATGATTATTAATGTTCATGTGAAATTACTTTTATCCTCCATTTTTTTTTTACTTGCCTCTCTGGTAATGGCATAATTTGAGAATCATTCAGAATCATTGTGGCATAATTTGGTTTGTCGGAAGGAACTGATTTGAAATTTAATTTTGTTAAATACAATTAATATGAAACATAAAAAAAATATGGGCGCTTAGTATAATGTCCTATCGTTAAGTTGTGTCATTTGCCTTTTTAAGCCCGGACCAAATATCTAATAAAGATTTGGCGAATAGTTATATTTAGATGTAAATTTACATGCTTAATTCGAAAGTAACAGAAACCTTTTTGATAAAATTTACCATTTTGGAGTTATCGACAATAAAAGTTCGGATTCATTCGCGTTACGGCACGGCAGCCATTACTGGCTTTGTTTCCATACATTCGCTACTGATTAGATTTGCGCGGAAGATTACCTTGTTAACGGCCTTTTTACGGATGTTACTTGTCTCAATTACTGAGCAACTGAGGACTTACTGCGTGCACAATAATCAAGACAAGTGAATGTCTATTCAGCAGCAAATATGTGCAAACAACGCTAGTAATGGCTCCCGCGATGCGAACGAGTCCGAACTTTTATTCTCGATAGCCCCAAAACGGTAGATCTTATCAAAATTTATTTGTTATTTTCGAATTAAGCATGTAAATTTACACCCAAATATTCGGCAAATTTTTATTAGATACTTAGCGCGGGGCTTAAAAAGCAAATTACCCATTAAGTTAGTCTTTACTGACCCAAATATTCTACAATTTTGTTTTCACCCCAACATTACACTACTTTTTAATCTTTCTAATAGCTTTGTTATTTGCAATCACTAAAAAAAATAATATTTTCTTTTATGTAACTCTATGAATTCAGCTTTGACATAGAGTTCAATATCCTGGGGACACTGAATGATCTACTCTTCTAGAAACCATGAAGCAAGACTAGTTGGTCGGTCAGCTATCACCTACATTGACAAGCTATGATATGACACACAATTTATCTTAATGATCTTCCATCCTTAATGCAAGACTATGATAGTTCGAGTGATAGGCTAACTCAACTGAATAAATAATTACGACAACCACCAATACTACTACCATTACTACTACCATCACTAAATATAGTACTATATAGTACAATCCTTAGATCTATTATTCATTTATAGTAGTCATTGTACTAAGAATTCTATTCTAGTTGTTTATTGAGCATTTTATGGGAAAAATCTCTTTGTTTTGAAATACGTTAAATTCAAACTGCTCTATGGAACTGACTCCAAAAAGGATGCTTCTCCGATTACAACAATCTTCTTCACCTGTTCAAGTCTAGTGTTAACTGTTACTTGTTATGACAAAATGCCTCCCTACTGACATTCTGAACTTGATGCAGGACCGTGATGGTTGGCGTAATAGACTCATCAATGTCCGAGCTAACTCGACTGAATAAAAAAACAACAAAAAAACAAAAACTAACCTTCTGTTTACTCGAGGATTCGGAATAATTTAAATGATTTTAATTATATACATAATAAAGTGATTGTATGTGTATCTGCTCTAAGATTCTAACATCTTTTCCAATCATTAATCTGCTAATTTCCAATATTAATCTGTTCAAGTCGAGGGCGAACCGTTATATTACAAGTTATGCTTCTCTGACCATTACAATCTTAACATTTTCAAGTCTGGGTTCAACCGATTATCTGTCCTACATACCCTTATATTATGCAATACTTAGTTTACCGTTCCTCCTCTTTTACAACAATTTCAATCAGTATTCCTCTATCACGAGTGGCCATTGAACCTTATATTGAGCGAACTAAAAAGTAAAAAAAAAACAAACCCAAAACAAATTATGAATCATCTAGAAGAATTAATGAATCGTTTTCGACATTTCAATTCGATTAATCAAAAATAGGTTTTTATAATATACAACCTTTTCTGGCTAAGATTAGACTTAAAGAGAATAATTTGCGGTTGTTCAACACCCACTATCTAGAGCGGAGCTTAGTCATAGTTTCTGTGTGCGCATCACCAGGCCAGATCAACAGTTTGAACAAGATCATTACGTAATCCTAGGTAACGATGAATTGTGATTTCGTCTACCCAAATTCACTCACAAGGCTTGGCATGTTCTTTTTTTCAGACACGTTTTTTTTTTAAATCGGTATCACCCTATGATTACCGTATGCAAGGCGGTGAAGACCCAAAGACAAGGAGTTACTGCTGGGTGTGGAAGAAGAATTTAAAACAGAAACATTAATAATGAGTGGGAAGAAGAAAGAGTAATCAGGAGGACAGTAGATAGCGATTGACATTGCATTTAAATTATTGCAGATTAAAGTTGGTTGGAAAGCATGGAACTGGATGGGAGTTCCACAAGAAAGGCAGTAAAGCCACTAAGACACAAGGGGTTACAGGGTGTGAAAGAATTAGGAACAGAAACACTAATAATGAGAGGGAAGATGAAAAAGTAATCAGGGGGATAGTAGATAGCAATTGACATTGCATTTAATTTTTGGCTGGAAAGCATGGAGCCCGAAGCGATAAGTGCGAGAAAAGAAACTGTTATCATAGAACTTACGGCTACATCTAGCTAGATCAACTGTAAAGTAATGAGACCTCATTGCCAGTCTGCGCTTAAATATAAAAATTCTAGGTACCATAACGAAGAACTTTACAAAAGTGCTGGGATTGCCTCATCATCGCCGAGATGAGATTTGAACCAGGACCTCATGATGAAGAAACAAATATTCTAGCCACTCGCCCACCTATGTACGAATGACTTTTATATGTTTACAGATATTTATTTTCAGTTTCATCAGAAGCTTCAAAAAATATTCAAGCATTCAGGATTTGTAGATAGAATGACAGCACAGAAAACCACGACCTTTGACTCACATTCCAGCAATGTGACGTATGTCAGGTTTCAATTGACATCTGCAGCAGACAGTCGACATTAAACATCAAAATACGCCCGAGTTTAGCACATACTGCTAATTACAATTCGAATGTCACACCTTTTTCTTGAATATCTCTGTGTGGTCCTATTTGTGGCATCATCGTATATTTGAGAAACACGCACAAGATATTCTTACCAATTCCATCAATGGCAAACACAGGAAAGAAAAATTAGCTGCTATTCCGTCATTTTGCCATTGAAACAACCATAACTACAGTCACTGATATTTTGAAAATACTTATACAAAAAACCGAAGTCCAATTATTCTACTAGACAGTTTTCACTCATTCAAGCACTTAAAATTGAATGAGACAGATTGAACATGTACAAACTGATATATATATATATATATATATATATATATATATATATATATATATATATATATATATATATAGATAGAGAGAGAGAGAGAGAGAGAGAATGAGATAGATGTAGATTGATATGGATAGAGTAAGATAGATAGATAGATAGATAGATAGATAGATAGATAGATAGATAGATAGATAGATAGATTTATCCGAAGGTAAAAAGACTAAAAGTAGATAGATATGAACGGAATGAGATAGATAGAAAGAAAGAAATAAAGATAGATAGATAGACAGTTAGATATGAATAGAATGAGATAGATAGATAGATAGATAGATAGATAGATAGATAGATAGATAGATAGAGTGCTGTTCGATAAAAGTGACTCACAACTTTTTTCGCCTATTGTTTTGGGGGTTGAAATAATTTTTAATCTTATTAATATAAAGACCCCTTCCCTACCACCTAGGAAAAAAGTTTACTCACCCTAAGGCATTCTATTGATAATTATAATTTTGGATATAAATGAGATTTAGGGAAAAAAAAGTGACTCGCTTATTTCCTGCAACTAGTAATCAATAGAAACATAACCGAACAGCTTTAAATAAAGAATAATAGAGGCATAATTTATTTATAATTGGTAATATCGTTCGAATTATTTAATAATCTATGGGTCCTCCTTTATTTTGAATAACCTTTTCAACCCTTTTTTGGCATTGACTTGATTAGTTTCTGGCAAATCTCATCTCCAAGCATTGAATTTCATTCGGATATGAAATTCACAATCAAATCCTCTTTGTTGCTCAACTGCTTTCTTGAGAGCCTGGACTTTATAATGCTCCATAAGTTTTCTATGGGGTTGAGGTCAGGAGATTGGGGCAGCCATGTCATAACACTCACCTATTTCTCATCAAAGTATTACTTCATCAGTTTTGATTTGTGACAGGGAGCATTATCCTGCATAAAAATGAGCTTGGTGGTGTCGATTTGCACCCTTTCAGCCGAAGGGAGCAGACAAGACTCTAAAATTCTCTTGTACTGCCGGCTCCTGATGGTCTTTTCAATAGGTTTTAAGAAACCAGTTCCATGAAAAGAAAAGCATCCCCAGAACATTATACTGAACGGATGCTTGACAGTACTTACTGCTAACTTCAAAGAGCTTTCAAAGCTTCTTCGGATTTTAGATCGCTTATCCTTTGAATTTAGCTCAACTTTCATTTCATCGGAGAAGAGAAAATTTAGAAAAATAAATCAGGTGAGTCACTTTTATCGAACAGCATTGTAGATAGATAGAAAGAAAGAAAGAAAAAAAGATAGATAGATAAATAGATCTGAATAGAATAAAGAATATTGATAACTAGCTTAAAAGCCGACCCATCGGGCGGCATTTAAGGTAGCTTCTGCGGAGTACTCTTGATTGGGCCTTCATGAAAATACCTAAAGAGGAGTAGAAGCGATAGGTAACAATAAACTACAGAAGATTGATCAAAATTGATTGCTGCATTTAAGTATTACATTAATATTTAAGCTTACCTTTGTAAAAGTTCAATGATAATTCTTCTGCCGACACTTAATTTAAAGACAGTTTGATGTACGTATTTCTTTGATGTACGTACGTACTTTCCGTAGAAACAAATATTTCTTTTTCGTGGGTGACTTTCGCGGGATTTCGCAATTAATTTCGATTATGCCTAAATTTCTTTTCAAGTTATAAAAATTATTATCTTAAAAAAAAAAAATCGTCGTAAAAAATCACGTAAAAAAAAGAATTGCAGTAATGAAAACTTGGGAATCCAAAACTTCAAGAATGCTGGTCCGGTACCAGCCCATAAGGTTTTTAATTTGTTCAAGGAATCGGCCTGATTCCAAAATGGGTTCGACCTCTAGGAGTAAATTTGAAAAAGTGTGACACAGTGACATTTACATTTATTATATAGATATACAAACTGAGATACATAATGTTATGGTCCAGGTTAGGACCAAGGAAGAACAAGACGAATACAAGAGTAGAAATAACGAAGATATATTACACGAAATAATAATAAAAGATGTGGAAGGTGTTAGTATGACTGTCAGTCTGGTTTGGAGTGAACTACTATCGGCTCGACTCGATTCAGTATCTAGCCCCCTCCCCCCTCACGAGGGTTGCATGTGGCACAAGGCCGAGTTTAACGTGGGTTTCCCGAGCCCGTAGGCTCGGCTAAAAAATGCCCGTAGAACCCCTTATAAACGGGATCGGGTTGGTCAACCTCCCCGAACGAGACTCTGCCCTTCGGCGGAGCCTCGTCCGGGTTCCTCTCTGCACAGAGGCAGAGAGTTCAACCGTCAAGCCGAGAAGCTCGGCTTGATTCGGTATCTAGCCCCCCCCCACGAGGGTTGCATGTGGCACAAGGTGAGAAGCTTGGCTTGATTCAACCTTTTCTCTTGAGAGGCGTAGTATACATAGTGTTAGGAAGAGTTCATTCTGTAGTTATAGGTAAGGACCCATGACAGACAGACAGATCTGTTATCTTGGCTTCAGACATTTTTTCACCACCGTAACGTAAGTTTCATGTGCCTTTTCTATAAACACTTTCATAGTAATTATTCGGATGAGCTCTTCCTAGACTTTATGAATTTAAGTGCATTACGAGATTGGCAGCTAAGTTTCATTTTACAGTTGAAATGGCTAGACGCAACCGCAAATTCTATGCTAACTGTTTCTTCTCTCGTACTTTTTTTTTCTGGCTTCTTACTTCACAGTCAGTTTTGATCTTCAAAAATTTAAATGCAATGTCAATCGTTATCTACTGTCTTTATTCTTATTCTTTTATTGCCTTCTTTTCTTTAAAGTGTATTTTTCTGATATTTTCTACAACTCAGTAACCTCTTTACATTTTAGTGGCATTATTGTCTAGCTTGGGTAAAAAGATTAAAAGTATATAGATATGAACGGACTGAGATAGATAGATAGATAGATAGATAGATAGATAGATAGATAGATAGATAGATAGATATGAATAGAATGAGATAGATAGATAGATAGATAGATAGATAGATAGATAGATAGATAGATAGATAGATAGAAGGATAAATAGATTACAATCAAAAAAAAGATGGAATATGAATGAACGGACTGGGATAGATAGATAGATAGATAGATAGATAGATAGATAGATAGATAGATAGATAGATAGATAGATCTGAAGGTAAAAAGATTACAAGTAGATAGATATGAACGGACTGGGATAGATAGATAGATAGATAGATAGATAGATAGATAGATAGATAGATAGATCTGAAGGTAAAAAGATTACAAGTAGATAGATATGAACGGACTGGGATAGATAGATAGATAGATAGATAGATAGATAGATAGATAGATAGATATGAATAGAATGAGATAGATGGATAGATAAGAATATAGATGGATGGATAGATAGATAGATACATAGAAAGATAAATGGATAGCTAGCTAGCTAGATATATATGAATAGAATGCGATAGATAGATATAGATAGATTGATTTATCCAAAGGTGAAACGATTAAAAGTAGATAGATATGAACGGAATGAGATAGATAGATAGATAGATAGATAGATAGAAAGAAAGAAAGAAAGAAAGAAAGAGGAAAGAAAGAAAGAAAGAAAGAAAGAAAGAAAGAAAGAAAAAAAGAAAGGTATTTAGATAGATAGATAGATAGATAGATAGATAGATAGATAGATAGATATGAATAGAATGAGATAGAAAGAAAGAAAGATAGATAGATAGATAGATAATTTGATATGAATAGAATGAGATAGAAAGAAAGATAGATAGATATGAATAGAATGAGATAGATAGATAGATAGATAGATAGAGAGATAGATAGATAGATAGATAGATAGATAGATATGAATAGAATGAGATAGATAGATAGATAGATAGATAGATAGATAGATAGATAGATAGATAGATAGATAGATTTATCCGAATTCAAACTAGTGTGGAATTGGGACACAAAAACGAACGTGAAGGATGCCGAGAGTGAATAAAAAATAAATGGGTAGTTGGGGACAGGGAGTATGCGAAGTGAGCTGGACTAGTTTTGCGCACGAGCTTTTCTACGCCTGAGGAAAATGTATTACCCGAAAACAAAGTCTCTCTCGTAATTGACTTTTAATTGTTAATTTTGCGACTCAGGTCAAAAGGCCATAGATGTACTGAATGACTGAATAAATGAACGAAAGGAAGAAAAAGGGAAAAAATATACGCATGAGCAGACCCCAAAGAGATCATTGGGGTTATTGAATGACTGAAAGAAGGAAGAATAAAAGAAAAAAAAAATGCTTCGTAATTAGCGTGATTAAGCTAAAGAAGTTGGAATGAATGAATTCGGACAGAAATGAAGAATAATAAATTTTGTAAGAGTGAATGATTTTAATAAAGTAAATATGGTTTTGAAGAATGAAAGACTCCTTTTTTTTTCTGAATGAAAGGAAAAGTAATGAAGACATGTACGTATGAAAATGCTTAGTGGGTGGATTAATTACTGTGTAATAGAATATAAGTATTAATTGAGAGAGTGTGGAAAGAGATTGAATTGAGGTAAATATAGAAGAAGTAGCGAGAAAGTGTGAGTGCCTAAGGTGAAAAAATGTTTATGGGAAGGTAAAGTTTCATTAACCAATTGATTGCTTTCCTTGCTTGCAGGCATAAAAGGAACCTTCTTGCATTTCTGTAGCAAAATAAAGTTCAACAATACCATTGATGTTTACAGGGCATATGTCTTGTCATAAGTTTTGAAGAAATACAGACCAACAAATTGTGTGCGTGTGTGAAAAGTAGTAGAGAGATGAAAAGGACATGAGATAAGTAAGATTTTACGAAAGAATTACAGCATTGAATAAAATCAGAAAAATATGTGATTCTACAACGACTGTGTCATATTTTCTTACGCAAATAATCTTTTTCAACAATAAAATTACTATTTACAAACCAATGTTGGTAATTTTTTTCAGTATATATTTATATATATGAGGGTCAGCTTGAAAGTTCATAGACTGACCAAGATATAAATCTAAGTAAACAAACCAGTTGGCAGACTAAAAATACATGCAAAGGTAGTAAAGATGATTGACCAACTGTTGTATTCTGGCACACCTGCATGTGTTTTAGTCTACCAACTGGGATGTCATAAATTTAAGTAGACATCCCAGTTGGTAGACCAAAACACATTCAGGTGTGCCAGAATACAACAGTTGGTCAATCATGTCTACTACTTTTGCACGTCTTAAAGGCATAGACTGACAAAGATATAAATTTATCTTGGTCAGTCTATGAACTTTAAACTTATATCAATCCTATTGGCGGGTGTAGTCTGTAGTTCATCCAGGGTGACAATTTTTTTGGCGGGGGGGGCGTCATTGAGGTGAATTAGTGTAATGAAATATATTGTTGTTGCAACAATGATATTATGCAGTTTTGTTTAAAAAAGGGAAAAATACTAAGACCGCCCGGGGTCGAAAACGCATTGTACGTCGCTGATTTGTCGTTATTTAATATAATATTAACCGGTTTGAGAAGTACAGACTGAGTATCCGTTATCTGAAGTACAAAAATCCAAAAGTTTTTCAGGTGCTGACATGCTTTTTCACAAATGGAAACTTTCAGAAAGCACTGGGAAGATTCTTAGGTTATATGAAGCTGTTGTACGTGACCTCATCTCTAGTGGATAGGGATTCTCCAGCACAGCTATGTAGCCTACGTTGGCGCCTGTTTTTTGTTAGCGATTGGCACAGCAACACGTTCTTTCATTAATTACTTAACAGGTGGTTCATGCTCATTAAAGATATTCAAAATATCAAAAAGTCCTGCATTTATATATTATTTTCAAGTAGTGATCCTAAGTTTTGTACACGTACAGAAAGTACAAAACTTTATTTTTACGTGAAATCTAAATTTCATCACTTAAAAATCTGTGTGAGAATTACATGACTAGCATCACTACCTGTATCTGTATGTACACAAAATTTATTAAACTTTTATTTAAAACTACTTTGAGGGTATATATTATTTATATAAAACTACCTTCAGAGTATATGTACAAGATGTGTATTGAAATGTAAATGGATATCGTGTTTATGTTTGGGTTCCATTCTCAAGCTGACCCATTTTATAGATGATATATGCTAAAATCAGAAAAATTATGAAAACCGGCCCCAAGAATTTTGGATAAAGGATTCTCAACCTTTATTATATTTTATACAACATTAATATTTTTTTAATCAATAAACCCCCAAAATATCAACCAGAAAAAAAAGCATAAATGATTTGTTATTTTATATATTAATATGAGTTTCTTTCCATTCTATAAACGTCACCAATCTTTCAGTAGTTGATTTTAACACCATTCTATTCCTTTGATTTTAACATTGTAATAGTGTTATTGGTTCCCTGATATCTTTCTACAATATTGCTTTCTGTTCTCATATAGATCTCTGACACACGCCAACGTCAACTTGGAGATCTGGGAAACCATTGCTGCAAACCGGCCTTCCTGGTGTAGGACTATCTGACGTGAGGAGGGTGAAACTTTCGAGTCCAACCGTCAATATGAAAAGAATATGCCACATGCTCTCAGGAGGGCCCAACTCGCCCAGCCGCGTTCACCAACCACAAGCCTCTATGAATCCTGCACAAAAAACTCCAGGAGTAGGCTGGTCCAACGCAGCAATCTCCGTTAACACCACCAGTAGTGAAAAAGGGAATGAAGATAACAGTGCAGATAACGATAGATGCCTCAGTCCGGATTTCTGCTGGAAATAAATTGGTCGGAAGTGCGGAAGAAGGCCGAAGTCAACAAAGAAATCAGAAGATCCGAGACGGGGACAGGGCACAAGACCAACGGCGATAAGTCTATTGGCTTGCGGTTGGGTGCCTGGAAGAGTGTTTCACTTCCCGGACCCTAGCTCTGAACAGACGGGCCCGACAAGATAGCTGATTCGTTCCGTATCTCTTACTGGAAATAAATTGGTTGGAAGTGCGGAAGAAGGCCGGTGTCAACAAAGAAATCAGAAGATCCGAATTGGTGACAGGGCACAAGATCAACGGTGATAAGTCTATTGGCTTGCGTTTGGGTGCCTGGAAAAGAGTTTCTCTTCCCGCACAATACCTCTGAACGGACGCGCCCGTCACAATAGCTGGTTCGGTCAAGATCTCTTGCTGAAAATAAATTGGTCGGAAGTGTGGAAGAAGACTGGTGTCAACAAAGAAATCAGAGGATCCGAGACGGTGACAGGGCACAAGAGCAACGCCGATAAATATATTGGCTTGCGGTTGGGTGCCTGGAAGAGCGTTTCACTTCCAGGACCCTAGCTCTGAACAGACGGGCCCGACAAGATAGTTGGTTCGTTCCGCATCTCTTACAGGAAATAAATTGGTCGGAAGTGCGGAAGAAGGCTGGTGTCAACAAAGAAATCAGAAGATCCGAGACGGTGTCAGGGCACAAGACCAACGGTAATAAGTGTATTGGCTTGCAGTTGTGTGCCTCGAAACGAGTTTCTCTTAGAGGACCCTTTCAGGTACCCAACCGCAAGCCAATAGACTTATTACCGTTGGTCTTGGCCCCTGTCACCAATTCGGATCTTCTGATTTGTCTGTGGAATCTTTACTTAAAATTGAGGGTGGAAGTAGGTGCCTCGTACATCTACCTGATTCTCCTTTAGCGACTCCCTGTCCTTCCATTTCTGTCTGCCACACTTATGCCATTAGTAATGATGTTGTTTTAGTTCTTGAAGTAAGGACCCCAACGTTCTTTGGGAGATCTGTTACCTCTAACTTTCTGAAGGAGGTCTGGCTATGACTATTGTTGAGACTCGTCAACATATACTTCGCATCGCATTCCTAGAACGAATGTGATGAATCGGGTGCTGATGGCGAATTCTGAAAAGAAGACTCCCATAAAAACGTCCCATCCCTGAGAAGTGTGCACTCGTGCGAGGAGGAGGCCCCCATTTACCTCCAATCGAATGGTCTGTTCTATCGTGAATGTCGGTTTGCTCTGAAACACCTCCGACGTCCAGGCGTTGTCCCGTAGCACATTATATTACGTCTGTCTATACACATGGACACAGTGGATAAAGGCGTTGGTTAGATCCAGTGACAGAACCCAAAGAGTGTGAGTTCAATACCCGGTTAAGGCATGGGGAACTTTCAGAGGGAGATTAACAGGAGGTAACTGATAACTAACATCCATCAAACGTGGCACGTGGAACTAGAACAGTCTACCCCAGTGAGCGAAATAAAGGGCTCAGTTCGACATTCCAACCACCTGAAGAAGGCCGGAGCGTATAATGGCCGAAACGTTGTAATAAATATGGCGACAAAGATGAGGACAATAGTCCGAATAATGTAAATAATATTATATTACGTGTTATTTAGGGGGTCCATACAATATGATCTGAGAAACGATCTCGGTTTTACGAAGGCTCACTCAATATGGCCATCGATGCCTGGGTTGAAATGTTTCAATAATGATTAGATTAGGTATCACTCACCTGGCTGATGATTAGCTGGACCTCAGGGTCGACAAAAGACTTTGTTCAGCGGACTTGGAAAATATCTCTAAACTGCGTTCTCTGTAGTGGGTAGGTCGAGACACTGGATCACATCTTCTTTAGGCTAGTAAATCCGTTGTGCACGTTTATTGAACATATTATGGTTCGCATGTTGCGCTGAAAGTTTTTCATCTTTAAGGTCAGTCCTGTCTGTAACAATGTGGTATCGCCATTAACGAAAGCTGAACACAATATGTGGTTCCTCTGCTGGATGCGTGACACCTTTCGTTTCGTGTACCTTTTCGTATTTGTTGTTTTATTTGAATGAGTGTGTGTTTAACTATGTGGTAGGGCAATTGAGAGTGTTTTATATTATTAAATTCCCGCAATAATTTTGTACAGTTAACAGATGTTTCTGTCATAATTAGGGATTGTGTTTTTTATTCAGTCAGTGATACACGTTTAGGCGATCATGTATCTTTCGATACATGACTGACGAGGTAGTTTTTATCCCGCAGTAGGTTGCCATTTCTTTCTACAGTAG